TTATCACGAGATCAGATCATGATTATTCAGTACCGGTTTCATGTTCATGTTCATGCCAGGATCATGATATTTTATTATTTTCACTGTTTACTTCAGTATGAGTTTCTGCGGAGCACAGTGGATTAGTGCTCACGCCCCCACATTATTCATGTTTTTCAGGTCACATAGTCGGAGACGAGGAGTGAGCAGACGAGCTGTTCAGGACATTTGTTATTATGTATATATTATGTTTTGGCTACACTGATGTTTCCGCTACAGTTTTCAGTACTTAAAACCAGTTTTTGACCCGACGTTAGTCGGTTAATATATTTATAACTGTTTTTATTATCAGATTATAAATTAACGGTTTTTAGAATTAGTCAGATTTTACGGTAACACTCCGAATCAGTCTTCGCAAAATAAATATTTTATTTATTTATTTAGAAAATTTGCGAAAAAGCGTACTCTGATTTTCAGTAAATAACGGGGTGCTACAGATGGTATCAGAGCACGTTTTTGTGTCTCTGAAAATTTTTACGAGTCAGAAATTTACGAAAACCTGAACACGTCACGCTCACGCCTCGCCGACTACCAGGTAAGTGATGATTCATGTTTTAAATTATAAACAATTTACTATTTCTATGCTCAGAAATTCTCAGTTATGAATTAGTTAAGATGCTCGAATTATGTTCAGGATCAGTAGTCAGGATATTCATGATTTAGTGCCAGTATTTCCAGTCATGTTTAGCGACTCGTCAAGAAATTTGTACGTTTTACTGATCAGCTTCTAAGTGTCATCAGTAAGGATGCTCGAATCAGAATTCATAACTTTAGAAAGGGGCTAAGTTGAAAACTCTAGATTCAATTCTAGATATATTCAAGTCAAGTTAGCAACTTGTCAGGGGATTTGTAAACACTTTTGTTATACGAATCTTAGTGATCATGTTCCTCAGACATTTTCTATCGGGAGTTTGTTCATTTTGCCAACCAGTTGGCACATTCCAAGAAAGAATTCCTTGAATTAGATCAGGGAATAAGCTCAATTTTCCTAAGTCAGGACAATAAATCAAGTTCAGGGCAAAAATTTTCATGTTAAAGGTTGTTATATTTTCAAAGCCATTGTTATAGTAACGGTTTCCAGTGTATAAGAGTCAATAGTCTGGGTTACCATGAGGGCTTGAAATAAGAGCCACTCAGCCGGGTTACCATGGCGGCTTGAAGCTGAGATCAGAGCAGTATGATTTCATATAATCACAACCTTTAAAGTCAGTCATGTCATGTATTCTGTCAGTCAGGATACTTCAAGTTAAGGTTTTCAAAGATCAAGATCAGCTAATTCCTTTGTACTTGCCGGACCAGTTGATACTGGAACAGCCCCATACAGTACATAGTCATAAGTCAATGTTCAAGATTAAAGTAAATGTTCATGATTTAAGGTCGACGTATAATAGTTGTTCAGCCGGGTTAAATATGGAGGTCTGTAATACAGACTATTAATCCAAATTGACCTGGAAACTTGAAGTCGTACCTTATTAAGCTACAGTAAGTTAGTAAATGTCATGTTCCAAATTCTGAGATGATTATTTTAATTGTCTCGGGATAGCTTTCAGAGTTCAAGATAAAGTGATTCAGTCATGGAAAAGTCAAGTCAGGGTTATTCAGTTATGTCATCGTTAAAGATAATCATGTCATCGTTGAGGATAGTCTGTCTAATAAGACAAGACGTATCTGTCATTTCAAGTATGTCCAGTGCCTCGATTCTCAAATTCAGAAAATTTGAGAAATAGCAGGAAAGATTAGTTCATGATAGACTTTTCTTGATGTTATGTTAAACCTCAGGGAAGGTAAAGATTTGCAGGTACAACGGAGAAGGGCCAATCAACAGCAACAGACAATACCGTAGTGGCGAATCGATGATTCCCATTTAAGGATGCATTCGCAAGAAGAGAAGGATACCATGCTTGAGTCACAGTACACTGGGAGATTACAGAGAGATAGCATTATAGTACATTGAGGTTACTAGCTTGAGGTACAGATATGATCAGTTACACAAACAACGTCGACAACGCAGGTGCAATGTTCGCCAGGTGCTGTATACAGGCGTGCCGCACTCACTTGATGAGGAGCAGGTGTGCCGCATTACAATGTGCCGCGAACGATGTGCCGCGTTATTGAGTAGATAATTACGAAAGGTAATTATCGATATTGCTAGTTATCCTCATTTGTACATGTGCGTATCTCTGGAGTTTTCCGAGTGTACCAACGACTGGAGTTTTTCCACAGTTAACGTTCAGACCGAAGATCAACAATCAGCCAGGAGATGAAGACCAGTACGCTTAAGAATTATGTTTTTAATGTCAAGTATATTTAATGGAACACTTTATTTCAAAAAAGTGTCCCGTTTCAGTCAGTGTTAATCATCAACTCACTTAATAGTGAATTGTTGGTTCCTCAGTTAAGATCAAGTCTAATGTTCAGTATTTAATACTGAATTCTCAA